ACGTTGATTTAACAAGAGAACGCTCTGTAAATGATGGCAGCAGCGTCATCAGCCGCGAACAAGCTTATTCCAAGCGATGACGTCACCCGATAGTGACATCAGAGACGATTGCGTCAGAGGACAATGAGGGCACCGGAACGATGACGTCACCGAACGATGACGTCACCGTGAAAAAAATGACGTCGCGCGACGATGGCGTCACTCTGAGTGGCGACGCCCGCCGCGCGCCTCAATGGCGGAGCCGCCGGGCGCCGAGGTTGCGCAGGTGAACGCCTATGCGACGCTTGCCGCGCCGCCTGTACGAGTGGCTCGTCGGCGCCGGTACGGCGTACACGTACTGGCCCTGGCTGAAGTCGTGCGTCTCTCGGCGCGTGCACCGGCGCGTAGCCGTACGTCCTCGGCGCGTGCACCGGGGCCGCGCCGTACGTCCTCGGCGCGTGCACGCGGCGGCGCGCCGTATGTCTCGGCGCGCGTGCACCGGGCCGGCGTCGTGCGTCTCCGGCGTGTGAACCGTGCCGGAGTAGTGCAGGTCGCTACTGATCTTGTACTTGCCGTAGCCGAGGCTCGGCACGAGACTGGACAGGTCCGTGCTGGTACGTCAAGCTTGATCGTCCGGCGACGGATCTCCCGTTGCCTAGGCGACGCCATGGCCGCCGACTACCGGGACGAGCGCGCGAGCGCCCGCGTACGACAGCAGACCTCCTTCTTTGTGAATCAGCGCCGTCAGCAAGGCGGCGGCGCCCGGCGACGGCGACGTATTTGCCGTATTTCTCAACGTAGGGATTACCGCCGCATTGCGAGCGTTTCTGTTGTTGCCGGCGTCGGCGGAGGTGCCGGTGCGTGACGGGTTGACGCCGCGTCCGTCGGGAAGGAGGACTCTCAAGCTAAGGTTTTCAGGTTCTTCAGGTTCTGGCCGAATTGAATACAAAGCAGAATTTCCATGAACGCCTAGAATTATTTGTTCGATAGACGCCGTTGCAAGACAGCAGCGCAGACAAATTTTTTTACGAAATGTTTTGTCACGTGCCGATAAAAACATTACCTACGTCTGTGATTGGCTATTTCATAAAAAGTCGCGCGACTATGTCGCTGGAAATTAGAAACGATCCTAAACATTTTAAGTCGTCACGGTTATCGCCGGACGTTATCGCGTGGGTATGTAACAGCTCATTGAAAACAATAGTTCCTAATCTTCTCAAGTGTCTCGTCAAACGTTATGGTTAGTCGTTATCGCTGCAGTGTTGGCTTTTAGCGGCGACACACGCCACAAATTAATTATTGCTGCGCACTTCATTGTCTTCTCGCTGCTCTGCTGTTCGAATTAGGAACCTCCTAATGCCGGCTAGGCTCTCTCTCGTCTTGCTCCCGCGTCGCCGCCGAGACCGAGTTCCCTGAAGCGTCCCCGTCTTCCCTAGAGAAGAAGAATAAGCGGGTTGTTTTTACCGGTTAAGCTTACATTGCATACACACACGCGCGCACGCACACAGACACACACACACACACACACACACACACACACACACGCACGCATGCACGCACGCACATGAACGCACGCGCGCATGTGCGCACACGCAGATAAAGATAGAGGGAGTGAGAGAGAAACAGAGAGAAAGGAAGAGAAAGATAGATAGACAGATCGATCAATCGATAGATAGATAGAAAAAGAGAGACCGAAAGAGAGAAAGAGAGAAAGAGAGACCGTGAGAAATAGAGAGAGAGAGAGAGAGAGAGAGAGAGAGAGAGAGAGAG